ACCTAAATGATTCTATGATTCTATGATAGCAACTTAAAAATACAAGTTTTTAAGTCCCCCTTTTACTCATAAATTAATGTGAATAAACAAGATTTAAAATTAAGAAAACAAACCATCTTTTATCCATCTGAACACTTACTGCTTGCACTCCCCGGCATAAAGATCCATTGTCCATAAGGAGCAGGTAGACTGAGCAAGATGGACAGCACAAAGAGGATGCATCTATACTAGTAACAACTCTTATAACGCAGTTGTGGGTTTAAATGAAATGCAGGAGGGACCATAAGGTACTTCAAATGCTATTATATTTAAAGATATGTCTCTTTAGATATGGCCATATCTCTATGCATATGTCCTCAGGTTTTGTAGAGGGTTTCATGCTGTTTTTTTTAATAAACTTTAAATTTTCCACAAGTGATGAGCATGTGAAGAGGACCACACTTCTTTCCACATGGACCTATGTTTTTCATCCTGAATATTTTTGAGGACTCATTTAATCTTTCTCTAAAATCAGACTGAAAAAATCTGGGAGCTCAAAGTAAGATCACTTAAGTAAAAAGAAAGGAAATACGGAGACATTGTGTTAAATGGAGCTAGAATTTTGCTCATTTTTTCCTTAATTCCATTTGGGGTCACAGCTGAAGTCTTACGGTACTAGGTTTCAAGAAACTCTGCCATTGTCTCATTCATGTTGCACAAGCCCAAATGAGGAAAGAAAATAGGAAAAAATATATTTTTCAGTCTTCTCCCACCTTCCAGTTTGATAATCCCTTGAATAGACTGAATAGGCAAGAGAACTATGGTAGCTTCAGAGCTGCAGTAAACCTTAGTTCAGGAAATGGCACAGTGTGATTCAGTTTCTCAGCTTCTAGAAAGGAGTAAGAGAGACTGAGCTGGGTGTATGTCAAAGTTGTTACTCAATCTGACAAAGACACTAGAATCAATGTGACATTGAGTCAGATTCTGGCCTGAATAGAGTTTAAATAGAAGGCATTTTCGTTTGGGAGGAAAAAAAAAAAAAAAAAAACCAACCAAGAAAGAATATAAGCATAAGGATAAAAACAGCTCAGTAGGTCTGAAAAGGTCATATGTTTTGGCCTTTAAAAAAAGAAGAGCAGAACAATATTATAATAGAATATAGATTTTTTTCAGAGTCGATGTCCCACTTTTAGAACATGGGTCTTTTACAACTCTACATCATAGACTTATGGTGTCTACATTTACAAGTTTCATTTGCAACCATAAGAGCTACAGACTGAAATTTTAAAGGAAAGCTTGTTGGATCCTCAAGTACAGAATGGCATCCTTTAGGGGAAAGAAAAATACAACCCCGTAGTTAAAAGCAGTCATTTCCAAGCTTTCCATTTATCATCAGTCCAAAGATCAAGAAAGTACGTGACCATTTTTCAGCTTTGTAAGGCTATTCTTTGGAAAACTCTGGTTACATTACTGGAAGTAGTGTGCACAGATTTCCATAAACTAATCTCTTCCATCACATTTGCCTATTTGGGGAACTTTTTGCTATGCAAGGAAATTACATTTAAAAACTTCACATTATTTCAAACGTGTTGCATTTTTTTTATTTTTTAGTAAATGAAAGCTTATTTCCAGTCAGTAAGAGCTTTACAACGGGAAAAGCTCATTTTTACAGTCTGGAATTATAAAAAAAAAAAAAGTAAAATTTCTTCTATCAACTTCTATCAATACTGTAGTTGGGGCATTTAAGGGCTTATATTTGACTGAAAAGCTAAAGGTTGTCTCACGTGCCAAATATCAGAAGCCCAATTGTTTGTGTACATTCCCCTCTGGTGGTGACTAACACATATTACAGAAGACAACAAATGCTACCGAAGGGGCAAGGATCAAATGGAAATAAAAAGTACTTCACCGAAAAAGATCTTTATTTTTAATTGTAAGGCTTGAAATGTTTTTGAAACAATGAGCTCGTTTAAACATTCTTCAGCGGTAGTTAACAACTTCTCTGCTTAACTTTACCTTCCTGCTATTTATTTTTTACATTACACCAACTCTCTTGCCAAGATCAAGGTCCTTTTCCCCTGGCAACACATACTTCAGTAGTATTTCTGGCTTGTTTCTTCATACACATAACTGGTATTAAATTACAGCACTTAAAACTGCCCAGTAGGGATTTTAAAAAAATAAAATATAAGCCAGGGTAAGGTAGCTGGATGTAAAGCTGCTGAAAAGGGAAATGAAAATTTGTATTATTTACTGCATGTTTAGAAAAAGGTCAATGACATTTTCAGTGGGAAAATCAGGACTCTGCCTTGACAAATTCTGAAGGTTTATCAAAGCAACTGATGGAGGCACAGAGGATGTGCAACTGCAGGCAGACATCAGGAACAGATGGTCTTTCTTTCAGCCAAGGTGCTAGAGGCAAAGTGAAAAACATTAATTAAAAACTACATGGCTGTGCAATATATCATCAATTATTCAATGTTCTTTTTCAGAGAGTGCTAAATGACTAGTCTCTAAAAGGGAAAAATCTTAGGATTGGCAAGTCAGCGGGGATCTTCTCTCAAGAGCAGAAAAAGAGAGAAGATCTGCATATTTAAGGATAGGAGAATAGAAAATCTATTAAAACCAAGCATCCAGCTTTTCTGGAGTATTCCTGATATTCTTACAGATGACATCAAGAAGGACACTCTTTAAGGAGTTGTTCAATAACAAAGAGTCAGGAAAAAACATGAAGCTAAGGAGTAGTCCCTCCAAAAAAATCTTGTGACTGTGAATTTCTGCGTCTTACAAGAGTAAGCAATAGTCATCATCAAGTTACTTTGAGGATTATTTGGATAAGCAAACTGAAAATGCTTGTGTGCTATATGGTTAAGTACATCTAGAGGCTTGAGAGAGACTTAAACTGCCCTCTACTCTCTGGCGCACTTAAACGGACTAGAATCATCTTGGAATAGCATGTTGTAGTGTGAAATATAGAAAATAGGTCTTCAGCAGGGAAAAAATCCATAGAAAATACGTCAGCAAGAGACATAAAGGATTTAAACCCACAGGACCTACTATTGCAGAAAGCATTACAAGATATCCACGTGCACACTCTTATAAGGGTTAAGAAAAGCACAACAAAATGCTTGTTCTCCTCAAGAAGGGTGAAACTTACCGGCAACTAAAAACAGTATTTTAAAATTACTTTGTAACTCTAGTTCTTCACTCCCTATACTACACAATTATTAATCTATATGTAAATATATAACTTATACATAGGTAGTGCAAAGTACAGAGCCTAATCAGGATTTTTCAAGGAATCTCCTTTCTCCTTGTTCAATGAATCTGACAACTGC